TTGTCACAAAATCTTAGACCCTCCCTCCCCCCTTAGAGCGTGACATAATATATGCATCAACCCCAAGCTACGAAACGAGTTCATCTTGTCTCAAGGAGCTTGTGATCTGGTGTCATCGTTTCTTGCAGGCAGAAAGCAGTCTGTTCGCCTGGGAGATGTCCTGTCCAGTGAACTAGATGCTCTTGACGGTACGCCTAAAAGATCATGTCTAAGTTTATTTCTCTTTAGTCTGTACATCAACAGTCTGGGCTTGAAACTTGACCGCAATCTAACATGGTCTCATCAGGTGAACGACATAGTTCAGAAAACGTACAATGTCGTACGTACGTTTCGTTGGTTTGCCTCGGTGCTTTCCACGCAGCCTCGGCGAAAGTTGGTGCAAGCTGGAGTGATACCTATTTTCATGTACGGCGATGTTGTGTACTACCCAGGACTATTGGCAACTCTCAAGAACCAACTACATTGCTGCTTAAAATCTACTGTGCGCTTCGTTTACAACTTCGTCAACAAGATTCAACTGCAGCTGTTCGGAATAACATCCTCGGAATCGATCTACCATCCAACTACCGTCTGAGAACAGCTTCATGACGATCGGCCTGAGTACATCCAGCAACATCTGCAACGCGAACAGTAGTAGCGAACCCGTTGCTTCATCATTCCGCGGCACACCAGCTCCAGTGGAAAAAAGTGTGCTGATGTACGGAGCCACTTGCTGGAACGGCCTACCAATCGATGCCATGCTGAAACCAACATTGAGATTCTGCGGCGTGAGTGAGGTGACAATAGTCACCGTGAGTGATGTGACTCTCCATTTTCCACTAGAGACAGCGAATCACCTCAAAATTCACTTAAAATCATGAATAATTATGTTTCCATAATTTCCATAATTCACTGTAGTTTCCAGTAATTTCTTGTTGATTATTGTTTTCTTCTTAATTTGTGTAGTTTTTTTTTAAGATTTAGTTATGTATTTCTCCAGAAACTGCTTCCTTGACCTTAAGGAAAGTTTGTCAACTGATAGGTTATCATCACGAATAAATATACAAGCTACGAATTAAATAATGCAAACCTAAGGAACAATGCTATTTTGCAATATCGTATAAAAAAATAGCACTTCACCAATTTTGAAAAAGTAATGTGATTTAACATCAACAATGACGTAGCTAGTATTGTCTTCTCTTTTATATTATCTACTCTTGCAAAACTATAAATCAATGGTGATTGTTCAATATGACGTAAGGAATATTTTGGCTCAGGTTATAAAATCGGTTCTGAAGATGTTTGATCTTATTTTTATTCCTATTTACAAGCCAGGCAATTTTAGGTCAAGTGAATACTTCTTAACGATACTTTGAACGTAGGTTTTACACCGCTTTGATAAAGCTTCAAATTAGCTGTGATAATAAATTGATTTTAGTGGACACCCAATTTTTTACGTTTTGATTTAGCATACGTGAATGCGACATTTTCATATGTCATAAGGAAAGGTTACACGTTACTTTCGATTTAGTGTTGCACCATGTTTCTTACGTTATGTTGTAAGCTGTCATGTTGCTTACACGTTAACTTGAAAGTATGGGTAAAAATTAATCATTTTGAAGAAATGTAGCTTATTCATTAATGGGAAAATTTTTAAGCCATTCAATCAGTAACTGTTACCCATTATTAGTATTTAAATAGAAATAGTTACTGATTAATCATAGGCGTAGCCAGAGGGGGCAAGGGGGGGGAGGTAACTGCCCTCCCCTAAACTCAGCATCACAAAGGCTTTCGGTGAAATGGCGTTCGGTGAAATGGCGTTCGGTGAAATGGCATTCGGCCAAATTTTCCATAGTAAATTCTATTTTTCACCCCTCCCTATCTCAAAACCTGGCTCTTGTAATTAATGGGTAACATATATTCATTGAATGGGTAAACATTTAACCTACTAATGAGTTAAGTCTTCTTCTTCTTCTTCTTCTTCTTCTTCGCATTTCAAGCTTATTGCATATCGCATATTAGCTTATTGCGTGCTCTTAACTTAGTGTTCTAGATGCACTTCCACAGTTATTAATTGGTCGGAGACGAGCCAGCCAACGGCTGAAAGTCTCTTTAATAAAGATATAAAAAAAAAAGTTATTAATTGAGAGCTTTCGATGCCTGTACCATTTTTGCATTAGTATAATTGTGTGGCAAGTCCAATCATACTTCTATGCCCAGAAGTCGAGAAATTTTCCAACCCGAAAAATTCCTAGACCGGACCGGGAATCGAACCCAGCCACCTCCAGCATGGTCTTGCTTTGTAGCCTGTAGGGAGACCCCGTCACATTTCTTTAAAATGTGTATTTTAAACCCCTTAATGAGCCTTTCAAGATAGAGTGTGAATCATGTACGGTACATCGATAAGCAAAACATAAAAAAAGTTACGTTTGCCAGCAGAATGCATAATAATATGGAGCAATTCTCTACGAATTCGCAAATCGATTTATTTATTTTTTTATTTGGTTGAAAATTTGCAGAAACGTTCCTTATGATCGACAATGCCATTTTGCATCTTCATATTTCCATTTTGAATCCAGCCTTATTTTTGATTTCGTGTCTTCGGCAATATTGCAAATAATGTCTTATAAATAGTCTTATGAAAAAAATGCACAATAATAAAATAACCCAACTTTTTTTTATTTAAAATAAAATCTGAAAAAACAATTTTTCTCAAAAAAGGATATTTTTTTATTTTTTTATTTGTTGATATGTTTTAGGGGACAAAAAATGCCATCTATTGCACTTTAGGTCAAGATGGACATATGATGGACAAAAACTTTATAAATTTTTAAAATATCCAATTCTTGGTCCGATTACTGTTTCAACTTTATATAATAAAAGTACACCAAATTTACAATAAAAAAGCACCTGGGTAAAATTGCTAAGTCGCACCGTTTTCGAGATGTAGTGGTTTGAAAGTAGATATTTTTAAAATGTTAAATTTGCATTTTTATTGTAAAATTATCTGATCCTTCCCAAAAAAATATTGACGGAACTGAAGAACTGCGAAATACATTTAAAAATGGCCAAAAACTACCAACATTTTAAAAATATCTACTTCCAAACCGCTACATCTCGAAAACGGTGTTAGAAAAAAATACTTGAGTGCTTTTTTATTGTAAATTTGGTGTTCTTTCATTATTTAAAGTCAAAAAAGTAATTGGACCAAGTTTTGGATATTTTTCCAAAAACTTGAGTTTTAAAAAAAAAATCATAAATTTTTTGTCCATTATTTATCCATCTTGACCTATAGTGCAATAGATGGAATTTTGTCCCCTAAAACATATCAACAAATAAAAAAAAATACCAAAAAATGTTTTTAAGATTTCATTTGAAATTAAAAAAAAAGTTGTGTAGTTTTTTTAGAGTGCAATTTTTTTTCAAATAGTATCATCCATTATCTGAAATATTTCCGAAGACACTAAACCGATCGGGCAAACAGTTTTCGAGTAAAATTTTTCTGAAGATAAGCTTGATATTTTTCTATATGCCCTTTTCAAAAATTAGGCTGGATTCAAAATGGCCATATGAAGATGCAAAATGGCATTGTCGGTCATATGGATCGTTTCTGCAAATTTTCAACCAAATCAAAAAATACAAAAGTAAACCGATCTGCGAATTCGTAGCGAATTGCTCTATGCTTATTGAGGTTTATTCTGGTTTTATTAGGGATGGTCCATTAATTATGTCACGCAAAATTTGGCCCATTTTCAACGGGGGGTTCCCCCTTTGTCACATTTTTTGTATGAACCTTATTTTTTTAATGGCTCGTCACAGTTTTCAAACCCCCCCCCCCTTCCCCTAAATGTGTGACATAATTAATGGACGACCCCTTAGCTGTTGCACAGTTTTTTTTAGATTGAATCATTTAGGGGGAAATGATGTAACACGTACCGAATTTGTTCGTAACTCGTTTGGTTACCGATGTCTTCTTTAGCTTGACTGTTATATGTATTTTAATCAGCATTGCATTCACTGAATGAATAATGCTGAAGAATATAGCTTTTTGTGGCTCTCTGATATGCAAAAGCATTTTAGTTGAACGGAAGACCACTTAAACCTTTTTAAGTAATGCTGGTAAAAGAGTTCTGAATCTATGCTTCACTCTCGTTATTCATGTGCCAATGTGCCAGGACCACAAGCTCAAGCACATCAAGATTGCAGTAACTCGTTTTGAGATAGGTCACGGTTAAAACGCTCACAAAAAATGCACCGCCGCAAATGCGCATCATTGTCTCAAGTGTTAAGTCTGAGTGCATAGCTAATGAGTGAGCAGCTAATAATGAGCCTCACTGTTCATTTAATTTCATCAAAGGTATGTAGTGTAGCAAGTGAATGGACAATCTCTGTCTAACACTGAACCGCTCTGTTTTGTATGGACCTTTACCAAATTACCTAATCGCAGACTTTCTTTCCTTTTAACGATCGATTCGATGAGTGGTTGACAATTTCTTCCCTAACGAAATTAATTATCATTGAGGTTGACCGTCAACACAGAAAACAGAATCGATAAAAGAAACCTTGTAAGAGAGAATTGTGTATGTACTACAAATTGAGCTATAGTTGAGAAAGGAAATAGAAGCCAAAACTTTAATTTTTTGGAAACGTTTAATGAAGGAAAGCCACTCTGATTGGCTTCAAGCTGCCTTTGTTCGTTAACGCTAGAAGAACTTTGAGCAGAGTCCGTTCAAAATAAGGTGCTGACAAACGATAGATAGCACAAACGCGTTGGAGTGTTATTCAAAGATAGAGGGATCGGAAAATTAATATCACGGTCGAATTAAAGTTCGAAAAGTTGAATTTTCCTCCCTCTATGCCTACCGTGGCCATAATGGATGGAATATCGATTGTGTTACCTATTTAATTAGACGTCAGAACTTTTTATTGGCAAGATTGTGACTGGGTGGCCCGTGGATCGAATCGCAAAGCTCATAAATGGTGGAAAAGTTATTAATTGCGAATAACAAAATTGTACTTACTCTGTTTTGATTCCATTCTGGATTGAATCAGCTTTTGCCATCGCGCGGGTGGTGAGGATTGACTTTATGGTTCCGTGATTGCAATGTTGTTTCTGTCGTTGGTGATTCGATACTTCCGGTTTTCACGTCTTGAATTCAAAACGCCAGCAGACGAGCAGCTACTACACGGGCACTGTCGGAGTAACGCAATAAAACAATTTCTGGAAAGAGAATTGCAATAAAAACGGTGTGATGAGTTCGATTGTTATGGATTTTCTGGTTCTGAAATGGAAAAGAGGGAGCTGAGCATGGAATAAGACGAATAATTTATAGATAAGACCAAATTTATTCTGTCAAGATTGAAGACGAGAAACTTTGGTTAACTACATGTTTGCGCGATAGCAATTTGTTTCCTTATTGCTTGTTGGAACTTTTGAATAGCTTCGGCTACTCGTATAATCCATTTTTATATGATATTTCTTGTTATGTTGCGTATAGCTACTTTGTAGTGGTTTAGAGATGAGCCGATTCTGACGGATATAAGAATACACATTCGATACTTTTGATTCATTGACAAGTACATTCGATATCGTTTCTTTGTATTGCTCGAATTTAGACGTTAAAATGAATAAAAAATAGACTCCATAATCGCATATCAGTCCCATCTTTGCTTGAATTCTTATCGATATGGAACTGACAGGTGATTATGGGTAGTAAATAATACTGTGAAATCTCTACAACTCAATATTGGTGACACCATCGAGTTATAGAGTTATAGAGTTATAGAGCAACAATCGCCATGAAATTTGTGGTACTCTCACTTCCGGAGATTGACCACAGGTGATTCGGCTTGGTTACCGGATTACACAGAATTCCACACAACTGTTTACTCTCGAGTATTGCACTCAGCTACTGACATCTACAATAGCACCGCAATAACCGCAATACACCAATTCATTACTAATATATATATATCATAGTATGTTCAATGTGCAAACTAAGTTTGCTACGAGGAGGGCGTCACATATAAATCTCTATTTTAGATGCTCGAAAAATTTCACACTAGCGAATCAATCTACGAAAAATCTTCTCTCATTTCTACTTGCATAGCGCATCATCTTTTTGCTGGAAATCCTCAGAATCGTCATCAATCTTCTTTCTATCTACACCGAGATTGAAATTCGCATGTAATTTATAAACCAACTGATTATTAGTCGGTGATCTAAGCATAGTTGTTATAGTTCTTTATTTTTTCATTACTTTATTTGAGTAGTATTTTTTTTTATTGCTTAACTTACACTCAGATAAAAACAACTTTTTTTTTATTTCTTGTTGAAATTGATAACCATCTGTATAAAGATTGTAGATGAAGTCATTTGACGAAACTTTGTCCAAGACAAAAGCTTTCTATTTCTCAAGTGCACGAAGTTATAGGCAAGGTTGCAAAGACTCATTTCAGCTAAAATAATGTTTTTCGGAATAATAAACGAAGATATACACTTACAACTTTGTAAAACGTAAAAAATGTGGAGATTAAAAAAAAATAAGTTCAGAAAACGCTTTTAAGGGGGTTCTACCGTTTAACTTCATTTTCACCCGTGCACTTCAGAGATAGATTTTTTGTTTGACTTGGATAGACGATTATCAATTTTAATGTTACACATTTTTTTTATCTGAGTTTATGGCTTGAGCAAAAAATGTCACTACTCAAATAAAGTACTCGAAAAATGAAGAAACATTCTTGAAGATATCAAAATGCTACACTCAATGGTTTCGTGGCATTGGAGTGGAGTGGAGTGAACAAGCTCGCTGGCTCGAGGACCTTTGTTCGGTAACGGTAAACAAGATGTTTGTGACGCAATTTTCAATCGCTGCTTCCCCAAATGATACGCCAGATGCTAAACCAGACTTCAGCTGCTTCAAGCATGAGATGTAGAGATGAACCATTCTACGATGTCTTAAGTCCAGGGTTGAAGACGTACACGCTAGGGACATCGCCGCAGTCTTATCGTCATCGAACTTGAATAAACCTTTGCGCACATCGTGGGTATCGGTTGCAATCAGCACACCACTCGGGTCGATTACTTTCACACCATCTTTGCTGAATCGTACTTCATGACCTCTACGAAAAATCTGGCTTACTGAAATTAGACATCTGTTGCACATCTTCGGAATACATTTTAAGTTGTTGACTTCAATAGGAGGATTTTCTGGACTAGCTGTTTGCTTGATAACTCCAGCTGCTGCTCGCTGCTCCGCCATAAAACCCTTGTCCTTGGTGAAATAACCCGAAGCACCTGTACCAGGCATTGCTCTCGTTGTTGTCCGCAGACAGCACCGTACAAAATGTGGATCACTTCTTCTTCCTGCAGTCCTTGCCAATGTGGCAATACTTGCATTTTGGCCCCTTCGACTGCTCAACTGACCTCTAATAGGTTACGCCTTGCTTCTGCTAATACGGGGTGCATGCTTACCTAAAAATGTACTTTTGGCCGATGACGAATGAAATTCCTGTAGTAGCTTCGTTTTGATACTATCACCTATCACTATCACCTATCACCTCCCGGCTAGTCCACCGGTGGAGTACAAGCCCATGAGGTGATAGGTGATAGTATCAAAATGAAGCTACTTCCCATTCTTTGGAAATATAAAATATGACCCCTCGTATTTGATGGGCAGCGAAAAGGTCGTTGACGTTTGAATCCATGGAATCACAAGACGAGAAACTGGTAGTGATAAGCTTCCTCAGCAATCCTACACGTATGGTAAGGCCAGTATCTTCGAATGCCGCCTCCAAGTTAACCATCACGCTCCGCGACTCGGCCTGCGAGGTGTTCGCATCTTTGACGTAAACATAGTTCATGGGATCTAGCAACAAGATTATTTTTGCACGACCTTTGACTGTATAATCAACGAGCTGCCCTTTTCCTGCTTCACGACTTCCCATAGGTCTTCAAGTGAGCCGTAAATAGAAACTACTTGTTAATTTGACGGTTGAACAAAGAATGAATAACATTTATTTCGTTATTTATAATTCAGGTTAGGCTGATGCCATAGTGAGAGCGAAGCGTTGAAACGAATGTGCGAAGTAATACAATAATGGGAATTCTTAACATTAAAAGGAGGGCAATGAGTTTTTATCAAACAGTTTTAATAATATGTGCACTATTACAAAATTCATGATTTGCAAAGGTTTAATTGAGATTGTTCATAACTTGTAGTCGTTACCAATTCAATTCATCTTCTCGTTATACTTCTGAAAAATGCATCAAACTAGCCTTCATAATTCATTTTTGATACTTGGAAATGATCGAGTCTAGCTGATTTGCATGAAAAGTACAGCTTTACAGCCTTAAAATCATCCCAACTTTTATCATGTACATAGATCAGGATATATGTCATCGCTAATTGAAACCACATGGAACATTTAAGCAACCTGTTAATTTTACCATTGATTCAGATTGATATTGCGCATTTCAAACGAAGTTGGACTGAGAAACGCGTTTTTTGATGTAGAACTACGTCTTTGTCGACTATACAGGGGTGCAAATCAAAAAACATGTGTGGTGAAATAGTGTTAGGTTTTGAACGCTTGTTACTATGTCACTTTTAGATGAAAATAAAATGCAAATACGCCAATCGATAGGATATTACATTACGCGTCTGCTGAAAGAAATATCTTTAGAATTTTCCACAAAAAACACTTCAAAGCTGTACAAATGATAATTTTATCTCTGTTTTCATGAAATAAACGATTTTCCTTAACCCAGTCGTCATAATCGAGTACCAGTTTGTTGTAAATCGTTCTACTTGAACCTGAAAAGATATAAAACAGCGCTGCTGTCATGCCTCTGCTCATTACCGCGTCGGACGTCGTGGCACTTGGTCCTGCAGCAAGCAGGAACAAGTCAGCGGACTAAGGTGGATTATGGCGTGACCACCTATCACAATGAGGAAATGAGGAACTTGGAAAAGATATACATGCAAAACACCCCCTCCCCCCGCCTTAAACGATAACCCGAAAAAGACATGGACTTATCACTTTATTCCGGGAAATAAATTATAAGAAAACTACAATTATAAGTAAAAGCTAAGGTTAAATTCCGTTAATTTTTTACCCGCTTACCATAGAGCCAAAACTTTTAAATTTTAGAAAAATTTTGCTTAAAAAAGGCATACATTCTATTCTGTTGGTGAATTACCAACAACTGACTGTAAAACATATCTGGTACTTCTATATATTCAGTTAGATTAACATCCGAAGTCCAGCCTTTTTTTACATATTCTGCACAAAAGATACTTCCTGCCTCGCCCCATTCATAAAAAAAACGGCGGGAAATCCTATCAGGTGCAGTTGCGCATCGTTCTGCTTGAACCTGAAAAGATATAAAACAGCGCTGCTGTCGTATTTTTGCTCATTACCGCTTCGGACGGCGTGGCACTTGGTCCTGTAACAAACAGGATCAAGTCAGCGGCTAAAGGTGGACGGCGTGATCACCTTTCACAAATTAGGAATGAGCCTTGGGTCCCGTTTCACTAAACCGAAACGCGGAAAAGTTATATATGCCAAACCGGTTCATGAGTTGATGGGTCCATAGGTAGGGTCCAGATGAGGGAGTAATAGTCAAAAATGCATGACATACATCAATTTTGCGTGGTTCTACGTCATACTGCGGTCGTGTATAGGACACAACCCTTCAATTTTTTATAATTAAAATTCACGTTGGATTCAATCTGCGTGGCTGTGTTCCATTTGATGAATTTTCACTGACACTTCGAAAATAAATTATATTGTTCGAAAATCCCTCTGTTGTTGATCGTGCGATTGTCGAGAAATTGTTTGTCAAAATTGATTCATGGTTTGTCTGAAATAAGTCTGGTAGAATAGCAGGTTTATTTGAAAATTTTCCATCTGTCAAATTAAAATTAAAATTCACCAACTGGACCGCATCCTAAATGTAGGGGGGTTGACAGCTGTAGTATACTCATAGTCCCACCATCAAATGACATTTGCTAGATAAGATTAGGTTGCGACATAATTAAAAAAATAAGCTCTGCAAACAATGCTCTTTGAAAACAATTTTATGAATATGTTGCTGAAAAAATGCAAGGATTAAAACGGAGGACATTTTCGGGCAAAAGGAGGATGTAGAAAAGTATTGAAATAGGAGTACATGTCCTCCTTTAGGATACCATATGGTAACCCTATGAATGCTTGAAA